CGAGGGTGCCTTAGCGGTCTTTCGTGGACGGTGGGTGGGCTGACAAATGCGGTTGCAAGATGTTAAGGCAGCCTATGGCTCTATCTTCCCATTGCGGGTGCGCTAGAGCCGAGCGAGTATATTGTTGGTGTGATTGTCGACGTAAAATATATGGCTATTGTATTATGGAGATGGGGCGATAGTGAAGGGATGAGGTGAGATGAGAAGGAGATTTTGCTGTTGGAGGCCAGGGATTGCGATGTCCATCGGCCGGTGCTAATTTAGGTTAAGACCGGGCTTGGCACTGCGTATGATTGGCTGGTGGTTGCCTATATTCAACCAGGACCGAGTACGGAGTAGTTGTGCTCGAAGACAAGTAGAGGTTTCTAGGTTCCTATCAGAACCACCATAACGACCATTCTCAGCAGTTCTTGTCTGATTTGCAAGTCCTTAGTCGCTAAAGCCTTCCCAGCTCTCTTCCCCTTCTAGAGTATCGGACGCTTTACACTGTGTTCGAGGCGGAGCACGGACAAAACAGCATACGAAAAATCCCATAGTCCCCTCGTCGTCGCCTGGATTGCACCGGATGCATGCTTCGCGATCCGCCTCGATCAAGGATGGGGAGCAGTTTGCTGCGTCCGCTGACATGTGCATACCGCGATGTGCCCATTCACGCAGCCCACAAACCTGTTCTTCCCTCCGCAGCAGACGCCAATTCCCTTTCTTCGCAATCTCGGAGCTTAACACACGGGACACAACGGCCTCGTTTTCTTCCACATGAACTGAACAGGTCGAGTAAGTTACTCGGACAGCCGCTGGAAAAGAAAGAGCGTGCTCAACGATTTTCGTCTGCAACTTCGACAGTTTCAGCAACCTTGTGGTATCCGGCGCAACATCCCTCGTTTCTTCTGCTTCACTCGTATCTTCCGCGGGTCCTTCGTGATCATGATCTCTTTTTCTCTTCCTCGAAGCATTTCGAGAACTCATCGGATGTGTCTTTTCAGATTTTCCATCAACAGGTAGTGCCAGAATAGGAATATCTTCACGCCCGATGATTCCACTACCGGAGCAACTCGGGTCAAGGAGAAGATGTGTGACTTTCTTGTACTGGCTGTCATGTGGGTCGAGAGTCAAAAAATCACAACTTGCTTGGACCATCACAGCATCCGCTCCGCTCTTCCGCATCATAGAAATCAGGGTCTTCGACCGATTGGGATCCCGCTCGCACGCAAAAACCTTGCTTTCTGTCCTCTCCATTTTAGCAAGCAGTGCCGCAAGGTGAGAAGTCTTATTTCCTGGTGCCGCACAGCCATCTATGCAGTAACCAACATGAGAGCTGTCGTCGTGTTCTCCGAGGAGCATGTATGCTGGGAAACAAGAAGCCTTGTCTTGCAAAATGAGTTTTCCGTCCCTGTAAGCTGGTGTTTTCGTCACGTCTGCCTCTGGAGGCAGAGCGATTAGATCTGGAACATGGCGGTCAATCGACAGAACTTTTTCCGTACCGAAGGAATCAGTTACTTCCGTGATGGTCGCGACAGACTTGTATCCTTCGAAGGTCGTAGCAGACTCCTGCATGAAACTAGTCTTCAATGTGTTTATACGGACCCATCTTGGCTGAGTCCGGTATGCCCGTGGGTTTTCCGCTAGCAGACTTCTTCGCAGATCGTCCAGCGTTGCGCATCTTCTCCGCAGCCTGGCCTTTGTGAATTCTGCTTGCAGCCTTGCTTTATTTCTTTCGATTGCTTGTCGGAGGGGGTGCGCAGAGGGTGCCGCGAGACCGCTTTTAGAGAAGAAATGATCATGGACCAAAAGCAACGAAAGGATTGGGGTCAACTATTTGGGAAAGCCGAGAGGCTGAGTCAGTCAGCAGAGACACGAAAAATCGAGGGAGACTCATGTCGAACCTTTCGTTCCTGAACCAGGAGGCCCGCATTGTCGACCACCTCTTTTAAGAACTGGTCGTACTTTGCAGTCTCTGAAATCAGCGCGTAGATGTGTGCGGGCTTGGATTTGAGTCCAGACTTATTCCCATAGATTCGGGACTTCAACGAGCCCCCTTTAGCGGTTGCGGAAAGCACCGTCGCGGCATCGTAATAGAGAGACATCTAATGGGGTTGTCGCAGGTCGAACCCGTTCAAAGTGAAATCGGCACCTGCAGACACAAAGCCAATTGTAGCAAAATTATTTGGCTCAACTCCAAGCCAATCACCATGCTCCATTCCCAGCCTCGCTAGCCTCAGCCTCGGCCCCAACCCCAATTTTGCGCCCTTTAGGCATACCTGTTACTCTCACTCTTTATGACTTGGCCACGAGCCAAAATACACGTGCTCGACGATACAGCTCGACGGTCCTTGATGCTTAGATCCGGTGTATCGCAGATCTAAGTCACGCCTTTAAAAGGAAGCATAGGAAAATCATAGGACGATTAGATGTCACTCTCGTATATTTCACTCAACACTCTTATTGGGGAGACACACAAGGGAAACAGATCTGTGTCTGGGTCTCCTCATGGCGCACTCGCAATACAAAGTCTTAATGCTACCGCCTCCAGGCGCCGTGGTAGCACCAAACGGCTTCCCAGCAGATCCTCGACCCAGAGCGGCGCCAAAAATATTCCTTGATGCCATGGAAGTTCGCATAAGGGTCTTCTGCGACGAGCAAAACTGCGCCTTGGATGCAGAGCTAGATGAGGACGACCCTAGGTCATGGCACTGGGTCGCTTATCGTACGACAAAGTCAGGTCTAGAGGAGCCAGTTTCTGTCATACGGATCGTTCCTCCGCCACATGGTCCTCACCCAAATGGCTCCAGCGATCCGAATGAAGAGCCATACATCAAGCTCGGGCGTGTCGCAACCATGGCCAATCATAGGGGGAAGGGACTGAGCCGGCTTCTGACTGAGGAAGCGCTCCGATGGCTTGCTGCACACAGGGATGAGGTTTCTGTTGGGTGGAAGGGCCTTGTTCTCTGCCATGCCCAGGTCGCTGTGGAGAAAATGTACGCAAAGTTGGGGTTTGTGACTGACGAAAGCCTGGGTCGATGGGAAGAGGAAGGAATTGAACATCTTGGGATGTGGAGGCGCTTATAGGGGATGAAAATGAGGCCCCTGTGCTTGTGTCTTGGGTGTCCTTGACTTGTTGGCTCGTCAACAATCCCACGGGCATCAAGATACTTGCAACAACGTGTTCATTAGCAAGTCTACCATGTAGCCATACATAGATTAGATTTTTCGGCGATAGACTAAGGTATTTGGTGACACTGTATCCACCGACCTGAGGATGAATCTTTGCAGCGTGTTCTGGCTCCACGAACAAAGGGTTGAAAAACCTATATCCATCATGTACGGGCTGCCTAACCATGGCATTCGCCAAACTTCTCGGCTTGGCTGACCAACAAAACCCGATATTGCCAGTTTTCCGCTGCTCCAGTCAGCCAGTTGCATGATCAAGGGACATGTTGGACAAGGCTAGCCTTCACCGTTACCTTTCGAACAGGCGGAAGTGCGGAAGTTGCCCATGTCATTGACGAAGTAGTAACGCATGCAGCAGTTGCTCATTCGGCGATTACATTCCATGGTTTTGCTCCACTTTAGTGTGGTCGTTTGATCATCCATGCCATACTGTGCATGAAGAAGCGGTGCTAGAGCTAGCAGCAATGCTTCCCATTCTTGTCTCAGGCCCATGATTGATGCAGCAGCTACTCATCAACTTGCGCAACTAGCGAGCTCAACAGCGGTGTGAGCCTGCCTTCCCTGATGAATGATCTTTCCGCTGTGTGTATGGATTTGCCCGACAAGTACACATTTTCAATTCCTAGCTTCGGCAAAAGATTGTTGAACACCATTGGCCCTTGAACAGCTTGGGATCTAATACCTAGAACTAGATTTGACCACCATGGCACTTGGTAAGCATGTTCAATCCTGTGCTCAGGCTGCCTTCGCTACTGCCACACTTAGTCTCATCGGTGGACACTGGGGTTCGTGGGGCAATCTTTCTTTCTGCCGTGTTGCGTCGACAACAGGGAATGCTGATCCTATGTTGCTGACAACCAGTATGAGTTCAATTATTCTCGGTTGCGTAGAACCGCTCACACAGCCGAGGGAAAGGAGGCTCCACCGACCTGGAAGATAGACGACATATCCACCCCGTGTTGTTGTAGGCGTGGATTTGTCATCGTATTTCCTTGGACATGTCTGGTCCAGGCCCTTTCTGCAATATGTCGCTTGGGGCCTCTCTTCATTATTCCATACAAGCTGGGCCGGGTAGCGTGGAAAGTGGCTATTTGTTTGTCAAGACATCCAGGATGCATACCAGCAAATGGAAACAGTTTTTGCCGAGTTTGGTTGTTAGTCAGAGATTACTTAACTTGTTCTCGGTCAGAGAGATCAGCCCACCTCCCCCCTGCGATTTTGCGAATCAAAAGATCCCGTACCTCGGTTTTATGGGATTCGAATGTGATCCGACGACTAGCCTGATTGATTACCACACAGAGGGTCGCGGCGAAGGAGTTCGGACTTCCGCAAGGCCTTCTACGGGTACCTCAGATCGAGATGGGTAATCTTTGTTGCGCAAGTGCCAATTCATGACATACGACTTCACAGAAACTGACGGTACCGGGGCGTTGCCTCAAGAGTTCAGGGGGTCATCAGGACTAGACTGAAGGAGGGAATCTCCGGTTTGCCATGCTAGCTTGGTGGGAAAACTCTCGATGCAATTTGTCATGGACAGAAAACAGGGAAAGAATCTTGCTTCGTGTATATTGCATGAAGCACAGGGAACTCGCACACGACCGGTCGGGACTTGTTGGAGGTTGTTGACTTCGAGACCAAGTTCGTCACGGGAGTATACGAAAATCTGGCGTAGGCTTGTATCATTGCCGGTGGAGTGAAGCTTCCAGCCATGGGCAGCTGAGCTCTCAATTCAATACAGTGTCCATGCCGCTGTTGATGGAACAGAGGCGCATAGGTACAACTTTCTTTCTTTTTGTATTGTGGTCTCCCCGTCAACCTCTTCCTTGCAAAACTTAGAACTCGCTGATTGTATCACCCCTGAGCTTCGCGCGCATGTCCCATTTGCCCTATCAATTCCAGACGTTCAGTTAGCCATCGCGGTCCTTAAGTCCCCAGAACCCAACAACCTGATGCTCTGACTTACATCTGTTTTTGCAAAGGCGTATCCAACGACCGAAGGTACAAATATGGCGTACATGAAGGAAATGAAAGCTGTGCGAGGGGTCCAGCGGAAGTATCTCCACCGCTCTTTGTTCAATTCTGCGACTCGCAGTCAGTTCCTTGTACCTTGGCTAGCTCATGTATGATCTAAAGTGCTCATCAACGTTGTAAGGGGGTCTTTCGCAGATATGAAGGTGGCTTCGAATGGGTGAAAGGGACACGTACGGTTATATTTCTCGAGAGCGGGATCATGGCGGAGAGCTGTTTCAACACCGACGTCAGCTTCAAGCTCGTTGCTGGGTCTCTGTACGAGCATCAGAACATATACATACGTGTTGGTCCAGCCATGATTGACCACTGCTTGAGTGTGAGATATTGTTTTAGTAGGTCAAGTCGAGGTGCCTGCGATGTCCAGGTCAACCTGGATTATGGATTGAGGTCTGGGAGAGGTGGCTGCAGATTCTTGGCGTGGCTAGTACTCGTTGTGGCAGTGCGTGACTGTTTCTCTTCGGTGCCTACTCGCTCTGGTGGCTCCATCTACCCTATGCTATTGCTTCCCGCTCTGCAGCTGCTGGTGAGCTCCGAACGACTCTGGGACGCAGTTCAACTGTGTTGCGCAACCGGGACGAATCGCTGAGAACGCGATCGTCCGCAACACGATTGACTCGAGTTGACTCGCATAAACCGCTTCGATTCTTCAATCGCGTCTAAAGCAGGAACGATCTCTGGGTCCTTCTGCGGACATCTCTCAGTCTAGTTGTCCACCTGCAACAATTCGTGGGGCTGCATCCCCTAACGACCATCAATCGCACATTTTGATCAAGTGATAAGCACTTTTTTTCAAGCTGACACCACGAGACCCTGGCCCCTGGCGTATCTCGCCAGAGCACGAATCAACCAGGAGAGAAACGTGGCTTACTGGCGCACCCCATACGGACGCCGAAGCGTCGCTGCAAAGGTAACAATTTGCTTGGATTATACTCTGTACCTTACTTTGAGATGGCCACCCCTTGCCAGCTGCGCCACTAAGGTGGTTGGGAATCCAAAGATCACTCTTCACTGGTGAGCAATGGGAGATGCCTCTCCGTACGAGGTAGATTACCTTGCCCATGCAAACCTGGTGCTGACATAAGCTAGGCTTGAGGTCTCTCGGGCTCATAGGATCCTGCTTCTCTTCGAGGAACTTGGAGTGCCTTATGAACTCAAAACACACAAAAGGACCCAAGAAAGACTTGCACCGCCTAAGTTGAAGAACATTCACCCCTTAGGCAAATCTCCCGTTGTCACGATTGATATACCAGGCTCGAGCACGCCGATTGTGCTATCAGAGTCTTCAGCGATGGCGGAATGCTTTTGCGAGTATTATGGGAAAGAAACCTCTTTTGTTCCCAAGAGGTACCAAGAAGGTAAAGATGGACATATAGGAGGCGAAACAGAGTCCTGGCTACGCTACAGGATGCTCATGCACTATGCTGAGGGCAGCCTCATGCCACTTATGCTTCTATCGCTCATAGTTGGGAGTAAGTGTCTTCAGATCTCATGCACAGGTACCTAACACTGATAAACTCAGGTATTAGGAATGCTGCTGTTCCTTTCTTCATCAAGCCAATCACAAATAGTATCGCAAGCAAGGTTGAGTCATCGTATATTCGAAGAAACATGAGGAACCATTATGACTTTCTTGAAGGTCAACTTGAAACTTCCCCTGAGGCTGGAGACTATCTATGTGGGAAGGACGCGACGGCGGCGGATATTATGCTTTCATTCCCACTTGAAGTTGGTCAGACCAGGTCAGGATTCACGCATAGTCAATATCCTAGGGTCTGGGCGTACATCGAACGGCTTCATGAACGAGACGCCTACAAGCGTGCTGTCGCGAAGATTGCGGACATTGAGGGTGAATTCAAGACAACTTCATAATAATTCAACACGTGGCCAGCATAGTGCAGGTACCAAGCAGTCCAAATCAGAAACAGAGACGCAATTCAAACGCTACCACACTCCAATAATTCGTTATTACCATATTGCGCAACGGGGTCGCGATCGGCCGGACACGGGCTCCCTTTGCTTTCCTGAGACAAGTTGGTTCAGTGGACTGGATTATTGCCTGTCGGACTCTAGCCCCTTCCTCATAATACGAAATGTGGTAAGTTCTGAGGGATAGAATATTACTCAAGTAGTGGTAGCACGACCCGACCAGATTCGGCCCCGGCCACCAGGCGTTTCGGCGCTTCTTACCCATCCCTCAATCTTTTGGCCTCATATATGCTACGATTAATTAATTCAGCCCGACTCGCTTAAGGCTAGCATCTCACCTAGCTTCACAGTCACCCAACAGTCATTTCCTAGGGCTGATGAAACAGCCAAATGAGGCGAAGGTTGATCTCAGCCGCAATGACGCGCTGGTTGTAGCTCGTTCAAGTCTGGGTGGCTAGCGACAAATAGTGAAGCGCTTCACTACAGATCCATGGGGGGCCAAATGTCGATGCCAGGGCCCGCGTGAGCCATACAGGATTGGACATGATGCCTGCGCTGTCAATACTGCCCCTTGATGAATGCTGACGATCATGACATGTCTTGGGCTCCCTCACCGCAGATACTTGGGGTGCAGAGCGGTACGCAGCACGAAGTTGGGGACACTTTTGCAGATATAAGAAGAGCTGTTGCAGGCGGGGAAGGCCTGTAATCTCTGCAGTCTGCAGGCCGATCTGCATTACCTTCAGTATTACGATCCAAGTGCCGCGGTGTGTCTCCGTTCTTCTTCTATAGCGACGAATAGAAGGAAGATTGCTATTCTTACTACACCAAACCACAACAACTGACACCGGTGTCCGCGCTGCCCCGAGGGTTGGCACGGGAAAGCATATTTTGGCAGCCTCCCGCACCACTTCTCCTCGAATCATACAGCCTCGTCCCAGTGGGAAACCCTACGTCTTCAAGCACTATATCCCAAGGTTCTGGGCCATCGAGGACGAGTCCAGCACCACCTACTTCTTCCGACCACTGAGTTTCTCATTTCGTCAACCCGATCTGGATCTTGTTCCGCGAAATGCCATTGTGGGACTAGCGAGCCCTACCTGGAGGCTCTTCTTGGGATGTTCTTCTGGACATATGATCTGCCACCAGCTCCCACACCACGAACCACGCACGTCATTCACCTTTGCCGACCCTCGGTTAAGTGAACACGGGCCTCCACGTTTCGATACCGTCGCGTCCATACCATCGCGCCCCTACCTCGCTTGTCTACTGTCCAAGCTATTCAAGCTAACAAGGCCGGATTCAACAGATTCATCCTACTCCTCTCTTCCCGCGGCCTCCAAGCAGGGGTTATTTGAACTGTTGACCTGACGGGACAGGAGCTGGAGCTCGCGATCAAGGGACCGACGGCGTTTTACTTGCTCGCTTTGTGGCTGGAGTGAGATCTGCCGTGTCCCGTCGTGCAGGTGGTAGGCTGCACCCCGACCCTCCATTGCCCTCCGCCTTTCAGGCTTGCGCCTGGGACCGTGAATCTCGGAATCAGTCTTCTAGGCTTGAAGGCTAAGGCTGGTATCCAGAGGCTTCCTTGCTTCTGGCCAGGCGACCAAGCTGTCTGTGAAAAGCAGCCCTCGGAGTCCACCAGCCCCTTAGGCGCCCGCCCCGCAGCGGGTAGGTAGAAAGGACTGAGAATCTTCTACCATATTTCTAGTACGTACAACTACGTATGTGCTCCTTCCTCATCGCCATAAGCATCGTTTCTCATCATCCATTTTCCTGTTTTCCCCGTGCACATCTCACATCTCCGACACTGACTTTTGATGGCGCCGGCTCTTGGTAATCGGCATGCGTCACAAGACTCGTCTCATGGGACTTGTCAGACCCTTTTGGCCAATAGTGCCGCCGTCAGGCCTATGACTCAGGGCTTACTCATCGTACAGTTCAGCCAAGATCTGGCACTCCTCGAATTTCAAGCACCGCAAAGAGTCCGCCAGCAGCACACCAGACACACACCAGCAACCCGCCAAAGCCTCCTGATCGCTGCCGCCAGGCCTTCTCGAGCTGTCTCCGGAACCTGCAGCCCATCAGCCCATCCGTCCATCTCGTCATTCCCGAACCTGCTTCCCTATTGCGGAGACCGCCACCAAAGCCAGTTCCCTGTGCCAGGGGTAGGGGGAGGGGAAAGCAAAAAAAAAAAAAAACAAAAAAGCCTTCCGACCCACTGCCCGCCCCGACATAGAGGCCAACGCCCACCCTCCCTTAGCCGATGGTCCCCCTCGTGGGCGGTCCTAGAGCTGTGGACTCCCCTTCAGTTTAGCCGGAAGGCCCCGTGCAGGCGGCGTTCGGGGGTAAGACCGCCCACCGCTGAAGGACACTGCTGGGCTGGTGTTGGTGCTACTGCTGGGTTCACGTCCGGGTGATTGCTGGGCTAGTAGGTTGCTGCTGCCGCCGCCGCCGCCGCTGCTGCCCGAAGCTCATGCAGTGGGCGTGGTTCCAGCGGCAGTGGTAGGAGTTGTGGGCTGATTGTCTGAGCTTCCCCCGAGCCTCTGGCTGCCACTGGAGTTCGGTGTACCCAAAAGAGCCATCTCAATCTGAGTGATGACGGACCCACACTCGACATTCGCCTTTGATCACAATCATGTCACTCATCACTCGGATACGACAACGGACACCAACCTGATTTCCCCAGCCATCTCGATTTCGCCCATGTCCAATGGTCGCCGTACCTGTGCTGCCAGTACAAGTGCCACCGTCACCGGTATTGCAAATGGTCCCGGTCCAGTTCCAGGGCAAGGTCCAGGCTCCAAAGCTACTAATCACCCCAATACCATAACCAGTGCTTGCGCCTACACAACTATCTCTGACCCTGAAGCCGAGCCTGCTGACGCCGCTAATCCTTCCCCAGACACGCGACCTGTCTTCCTCCCAGAGGATTTAGAATATCCTACCGTCACTGTACATGATACAGACCCTCAACATCACCTAGCGGCTGCCTCTACTCATGCAGCTCCTGCCGCTAGCTATACCCTAGGCGTCCCAAGCTTTGGTTCACAGCCCTGGGCTGCTCCTTCTGGGCCTTTTCTCGATTTCGCGCCTCAGCCAATATATGAGCCTACTGGCGAGTTAATCCACGAAAACATTCACACCTTTGACGAGTTCGACGCCCCGTCCATTTCGAGGTTTCCATTTCCTCCCTCCACTACTCCGAAGAATCCGCCACCGCCAACAAGCAACTCGGCCGACGTGGCCACCACCGCCAATGGTAATGGTTCGGTGACAGCCTTCATCCCGCCTTTGCTTCCTCGATCTGCTCTCAAACGAAAGTCCAGCTCCGTTGCAACGACCCCGACCGAATCTTCCGGTGACAAGAAAGTCAGAGTCCTACCTGGACCAGCATCCGAATCTGCCGTTGCAAGTAATCGTTTTGTTACCTTTGAGCGGATGTCAGGCGTCGGGCCAACGTCCCCTGATGAAGGATCTACCTCTTCAGACCTCCCAGCCGGCTCCAGGGCAGCTCCAGGTATATCTGCTGGCAACCGTAGGACCCGCCAGTCCTCCGCCTCTACACCTAGACCATCAATACTTCCCACAACCTCGTCACAAACGTCAACTAGGCAGAGGGGGACACGCACTTCTTCGGGACATCCACCGTCAATCCTCCCTCCGGAGAAGGTCTTCCCCATTCAGATAGGATCGGATCTGTTCAGGTTATCAGGAGCCTCGATATCATCCGATGGTATGAAATCAGACAAGCAGCGATTTGGGCAGCGGTGACTGACGATTCAAACAGCCCCATCCTATTTCACTCAGTTTTTCGAAGAACAGATCCGACAAAATGAGGAATCTGGTGGGGTCAGGACGCTATATATCGATCGAGATCCTGCAACTTTCCGAGACGTGGCCAGGCATTTACAAGGTTCTATCCCCTGCCTGAATAGTTGCTCCGGTGCTGACGGTCGATAAAGGCTACTACGTCAAACCGGTGGACGGAAGCCACTTTGTGAAGCTGTTCGCAGATGCCCAGTTCTACAGCTGTAGGTGGATGTGGATTTTCTGTGGTTGGCGGTGCTGATTTTCCATATAGTACCTCGCCTAATAGACCAGCTGTTCGAGTCTGAAATCTTCATTCAGATCGGAGAACGACATTTTCAAATACCCAAAGACATCTTTTCAGAACCTGGAAATTCACCCAACTTCTTCTCTCTAGGCTTTGCGGTTTTCTTCTCGACGCCTGGAGAAGTTTTTCCCGGGTTGGACCGTCGAGGGCTTCTTCGCCCACCTTCGATAACTCCACCTTACGTCCCTGGTCGATCAGCTGAGATTTTCGCAGAGCTATTGCATCTTTTACGAGGTTATCCTCTCCATATCAGGAATGAATCACATCGAGCCGAACTACTGCGAGACTGCCGCTACTTCCATTTAAGGGGGCTGGAGCAGAAGATCATTGCCCACGAGATCAGCTACAATTCAGAGAGACAAAAACAGGAGATTTGTCTGCGGCTGGAAGACGTCAAGCCTTCAGGCGTATCATACACCAGTGACGATTCTCTCGGCGAAAAGTCATCAACTGGAGGATGGGTTTACTACGCGAGGCCCTTTGTAGACGACACCTCCTATGAAATGGTGATTGAAATCGGAAGCGAAAGCACCGTGCTGGACTTAACAGACATGAGGGCGGACTTTCATGGACTGGCAAAGGCTCGAGTGTCATCTTTGTTCCAAGTGGTAGCCAACAAAATGAACCTGCCCACGAATGCTCCTTTGGGACTGATGATGCTGTCGGGAGGGAGGACTTCGCAGTCGGCCAGCCCTGGACACACCCCTCTGAGCGAAGACCGCGTGAAAGTGCGCTTCGAGGCTGCAACGGACATCACCCTGGACGGAGAAAGCTTTGAAATCGACTTCGAAAGTCCAATGGGCCAAGCCATGCTCCATGGACCCTCAAC